CTCTTGGAACGTTAGTTTCCAAGGTGTGTTTGTTTTTCGGATTTGGGGCTTGGGATGGCAGTCGATGAGCACTTGGCTGTGACGAGCTTGGTGAGACTGTCCGATGCTTATCACTCTGGAATACCAATAAGATGGCTCCATGATGGGGTCCCTCTTTGGGCTCGGAGCACGAGTAAAGGGAGCTAGATAGCTCCTCCGCTGCAAACCTGGTATTCTGTGACATTCCTTTGTTGAAGACCTGGTGTTCTGTGACATTCCTTTGCTGAAAACCCGGTATTCTGTGACATTCCATTGTCGAAAACTCGGCATTCCGTGATATTCCATGGTGATCTGTGATATTCCTTTAGTGAAATCCCGGTCTCCTCTGATACTCTGGCCCTGGGGCTTGCCCGGAACCTAGGAAAAATCTAGCTTTTTCTAGCTTTATCTAGCTTTCGCTAGCCTCTTCTAGCTTTTTCTAGCTTTTTCTAGCTTTCGCTAGCCCTTTCTAGCTTGTTCTAGCTTTGTCTAGCTTTTGGTAGCCTTGCCTAGAAGAGCGGATTCCGATCGTACGAAAATATTAGCAGTTCGGGGTCTGAGCCAAAGAACCTCCTGAAACAAATGCATTTAGGCGCTATGGCCGACGGATCGGCAGTGGATTGCCGGCACAAACAGAAGTCAAAGCCCGCCTCCGACTGCTAGGAATAAATAACACCCACCTGTAGTTTCCTGCTGTGTCTTCACTTGTTACAGGCCCTTCAAGGGCACACTGTACCACAGGAAATCCGTAGCTTCCCAGCCCAGGACATACTTCAATACAGGAAACCCGTAGCTTATCTTAGTTTCCCTTAGCTTCTCTTAGCTTCTCTTAGCTTCTCTTAGCTTATCGTAGGTTTTGCTTAGTTTCTTGCAGATTCCTGCGAAAAGCTGTGGAAAGCTAGATATGTACGCTTAATCAAAGAGGCGCCCAATCATTGAGCCATCTTACCGGTTTTAATGAATCACGGATCTCCGCCCGAGGACCCAGGGGAGGAGCTCATTTACGTTCGCGGCTTTCTCTGCACACTAAGTGGTTACCCAGCGATAGTTCCATATTCACATGATGCGGCTATTGCCGTGATCCCAAGATGAGGCCCAACACCCCAGGCAACCCAATGTAGATGCGGTCGTAGAGACAGGTGTAGCTTCGTTGTGTGAGATCTTTCGAAGAAGTACCGACGCGACCATGAAGGGTCGATATATACGGTTCCTATATGAAGCTATCACGTTGTCTGTTGCCTGCTGGACCTTCCACACCCTAGCCACATGTATCGACCAAACTGTTCAAAAATGACTTTCCCTAGAAGCACAATCCCGGGCACAGCGAAAATTCAGTTCGAATTGTTGAAGCAGTGCTCCAGCTGCTACTCCGAATATCTCTCCGCTTCCCTCCCTCACTCCGTCCCTCCGTTCCTCGCCCTATGTATACCCCTCTGTGTGTCTCTCTTTCTCTCCGTGTCTCTGTGCGTCTCTGTATCCTTGCTACCGAGGTCGAAGCGACCTTGAGAGTGGTGTGCAGCTTTGCAAAGGACGGTGCATGCTGCGGTGTTTATCGATCTTTCTGAAACGATAGGGCTTTGTGTGTACTGGTGCGCCGAGCCTGGACTATCACAGCAGGAATATGAAGAAATAACCTCTAGGGGTTTGGGTTGTGGAGTTTACCGGTAGCCTCACGACGTGATTATTGGACACTTGGGTTCAAGAGAAAACAGGCAGCGGTCCCTCCAAGCGCAAAATGGTGCCTTTTGCATTCTTTTGGGTAGAGGGCAGTCTAGGCAGAGCCTCTGTTCAGGGCAGGGTTTGGGTCTTGCGGCGGAGGGAACATGCACTTCAACCCTGAGCTATAACAGACCTTCCCGCGTTCAACAGTCAAAAAGCAAGTGCCATGAGGATCCAAAGTGGTCTACAAGATCTACGTGCCGTGGCACGCAATGTCATACCCAGAAATCCTTCCACACCCTGGGTGAACAACCCTGAACAAATGCCAGAATGCCGGGCTGTTTGGTACCAGACCCGAAAAAGCAAATGTGATAGCCGAAAGCCCTAAGTTCTCAAAGCCTAAAACCCAGAAGGCCTGGAGCTTCGAGCATTCACTGAACCTTCCATTTGGGATCCAAGTACTTGCAGTAGCGTCGCACAGTACGACCCTGTAGTCAGTTGCCTTTGAACTCTTGCATGCCATGAACCCCAAACTCAACAGCCTGTGCCTTCCTAAGAGCTCCGAACCCCATACGTTGCCGCGTTAACTCCCGACTCCCGACCCCAAGCACTCAAGCTTCGAGCCTTCCTGAATAAGTACAAACTTAGTTATTGCAGGGTTTAGATTTTCCGGCTTGGAAAAGCAGCGCGAGTATGCAGGATGTCAATCCTTACAGAACCATAGAAGACCCTTTCTAACACCATAAAAGGTTGTCCGGGGTTTTCACGGGTCTTATAGGACAACATGCTGTTCTACCTGAGGCACCCCGTGCTATGGGAATGGTTGTATTTGCACAGCAAATGGTAAAGAAGGCGTCAGATTGTCATGGAGTTTAAGGCAGTTAAGCGGCTTTGTTGAATACGTATATATCCTTGATTATGTTGCTAGTTGTTCCTTTTTGCCTGAACCTTCAGTCGCCATAGTATTTCGTTGGAAGTCGTATATCATGTAGGGTACAGCCACTAGTCAGTAATTACATGCTCCCTCGATTGCTGAGTCTTACATTGGGACCTGTATTATTTTTGTTGGCACTTCCAGGTTGCAAATGTTTCAAGAGACAAAGGCCATCGGCGCATAAGTTGTAACTCTTTTGGTTTCCGGGGTTGGTAACTATACTAGGATGCCCAGTAGTACCCTTATTCCCTTTTTGTAGTCCTAGGTTCCTTATAAAGCTACCCAATACCAAAAAGAGAGGCCTTTTTTTCTTAGGTTACTGGGTATCCTATTATATACTTTTCGGAAAGCAGGGTCTTCAAGGGGTCTTCAGTGCTATTATATAACCTCTTAGAGTTTCGGGCGTTTTGTTGAGGCTTAGAGCTTTCAGGCTAAAACCAGGCTATCCCCTTCTCCGGATTGGTTCAGCCTTCAAGGTCTTGAGGCTGGGTCCTTAAATCTGGAAGTCCTGAAGCCTAGAGCCACAAAGACATTGGGATGCCCCTTCCGAAGGTGGATGACAAAGGCAGCTTACCTGCAAAGACTCAGATGGCCCGTGGGTGTTGGGCTTCGGGTCATCCTTTAACTGTTCAGGGTGGTGAAGGTTTGGGATCTCAAGCCCCCCCCCCTCCCCCGCATCTCCAAACCACTAAGGGTTCGGGGCATGAGAACTCACTTGGTAGGACTTGGTTCTTTAGTTGTTGTATGGCATATACGGCATGCAACTTGCTTTCCTGGGCTGCTGGGCCAAGGATCTCAGCTTTGCCTCTTTGAATTGACAACAGCGACAACAGCCCACGAACTACCTCCAACTCGGCTCAAGTGTGCATGTCTTGCCCTAGAGTGACTATAGTGTCTATACCCATTGAGGTCTCGGGTTTTCAAAGTGTGTGTGTGGCTGTTTTGCCCAGGTGTTGGTGCCTGTGGCGTGTCGCTCGTGTGAGCCAAAGAAAGACACGATGCCTTCGGCTGACCCGCGCTGGAAAACCGGCAGTGTTTGAAAGGTCGTTAGGTAGGGTTCAGGGGTTTGAGTTTTTAATGCCTGGGGTGTCCATAGGGTTATGGGAGTCTGTGATTACTGTAGGTTTTGTGGCGCTGCATCCAATTAGGTCGAGGATTTCCTTTTCAGTCCAACGTAGCAACGACGTAGTGTCTGTCGCTGTTATACGAAGCGCCATAACTTGGGCTATAACCCTTCTCAATGTTGCACCCCACCAGAGATTGCAAGGGCACGCCGCTGCCTGCCCTACTGAGGCTGTTCTTAGCACCTCCAAATCAGTGCAGAGGAAACGCAATAACTCCATGAATGCTGTGTGTACCTGTGTGTTGCTCGTTCATGAAGCCTCCAATTGTTGTTCAAAGAGCCGTTCGAAAACACTACAGCAGAAAGTGTTCGTGCTTGCAGTGAGCCCGGGTGAACTACTGCTTCCTCAAGCATTATTCTCCTGATCGTTGAGGGTTGAAGGTGCTTGTTCACGCCGCACGCCTTCCAACCTGCAGATGCCTGGTGCCAACCAATGGCTGTAATTAGGCTCACTCTGACTCACTCTGCATAAGTTAGGTAAAGCAGCAGATACTTGAATTCGGTCCAGTTTGGACCATTGCCCTCGAACGTTGCTTAATTAAGACCCCAAGCCTCCATTGAAGCATTGTGAAATTTTCTCCCAGCTCGGACAGCCTGTCCCCAGAGACAAACACCACGAAGTCAGGAAGCCCTGGAATGTGACGAAGGGTTCTCATTAATTAGATTGGGGCTTGGGGATATATTATACTAGAATTTAGTAAGGAACCTCCAAAACGCTATTCGATGTGTTACTTGTTAAGGCTCATACATTACTTTGGTCTGGAGGAAGAAAGCTCCTAGAGCCCTTCCCTCCGAAACCGACCGAAACCCATGGGGAGGACCACACAAAACTTGTGCACGGAGTGCAGGCTGATCGGAGCAAGCCCTCATGAAGCGCTTAAGTTGTGCCAACCTGACATTCAATTCTTCCAGATCTCCCATATAAACCAGACCTCAGCGTCCTAGAACCCAGATTTTTTTGTTGGGCCTGAATAGAAACATTGGCATTGTCTTTATTGGGGCTCTACGACACGAGCAGGTTCTGGTCGGAGGAGCCCAGACCCCTCAACCCTAAACCCTGAACCTTATGCGAGTGTGAGCGTCGAAGCCCTGATCTGAACCCCTAAACCCTAAAGCGTGGACGCGGTACTATCACTGGATGCGGCTTTTTCGAGGCACACTGGTGCCCCTAAACCGCTAAACCTTAAAGACCCCTAAACCCTACAAGTGTCAAAACCCTTAGCCCTGCGCATGCGGCAAGTGCATCGGCATCTGTGCAAGACTCAGGCCGGCGGCGAAGGAACTGGCTACCTGAACTTCAGGACCAGTACCATTCACTCTTCTTTAGGCTTTATGCAAGATATAGGGGAGTTAAGATAAACCTTCAGCATCTTCTTGTTCAGGCTTTCTGTAGGGAATAGGGGTTAGATTCATGTTATTATGTGTTTCTGCGTTGAAGCTTGCAAGACCAGGCAATTTCTGTTAGCTTGTTGTTATTATCGAAGGGTGTGTCTCCCTCGTACGGCTAAAGCTTCGTAGAGTACGGTTCACGGTTTCGGATTTAGGGTTGCTTCAGGGTTGAGTGCCCTATTAATAGGGCCTGTGAGGGGTCTTTTAGTCCGGATCTCGCAGGTTTGTTTCTGGTTTAGGGCTTGGGGCTGCAAGCCCTAGCCCCAACAATCGCATCAAACCCTACAACTTAGAGTTTTCTATCTTGATGGCGGTCCCTAATTCGTCTGATGGAAGAAGCCCCGCAAAAATCTATTGCTACATAGCTGCCATGTCTTAGTTTTGATGCCAGGTACCCAGGCCTGCAACCCTCCTTTCCATGCAACTTGGGGCTTATGGTTTACAGCGTTGAAGGCGGATACATCAGTCGGACACATCATGTGCACATTTCCTTGGTGCAGAACTAGTGCCAGCGCTGCCTGCAAAAGGATGTTCACTGCTTGGTCTCAGAAGTATATCCAGATGGACCTGCCTTTGGGCCTGGAGGCGTAACATTTGGTGTGTAGGCATCAGTTTTCATGGGCAACAAGGCTGGCTATGGACGGGGCTCAGGGCTTGAGAAGAGTGCCAGCTTCCAACCCAAACGACCCAAATCAGAAGCGCTTGCAAGACTCCCAAACCCGAAATCCTAACACTAGGCTGCCTGAACCTCCAAACCTTGCACCCCCTCACCCTACACACATCACTAAGTGGCTTTGCTGGCATCCAAAAACCCACCCCCCGACCCCATACATGCTTCTTGCACAGAGGTTTGTGTTTCTTGTGTTTCCCTCGCTTGCCCTTGAATGGCCGTCGGATCTAGAGTCTAGATTTGGGGGGTTGGATTATCCCGATCCCCGGACCCAAAAACGTCCGGCCCGAGGGACAGGTTTCTTAGACGAGTGCAGGCTTCCGCTAGCCACGGGATGCTACTTCAAGGTCAACATAACCCCAAAGCACCACGGCTTATGCCCCAGACAACCGAAGCTTATAAGTCCAGAACGCGAGACCCCACCCCAGGGTCAACATTACTAAATATCCAGAGGCCCAGAGAGCACACATGCTCTGAGCCCGAAGCTTTCTCGCAGTCTATGGTTTTTGGATATGGGTATGGCCAGTAGTAAAGAATCATAAGCTTGCCTTAAACTCCTTGTAAGCACCCCTCTGGCGCAAGCCCTCTTCAACCGAATGACCGAAAAGCATGGACAAGTCTTACAGACGCTGACTCAGAAGTCACAAGAAGAAGCGCTGCAGAAGCTTCAGAAAGCGCTCACAAGAAGAAGCAGTGCAGAAGCTGCACAAAAGGGCTTGTGGAGTACATCGACAAGCTCCAGAAGGCACTCGATCGAAAGACTGCAGATCTCCTAGAGTAAACGGCTGTGGTGCGAGTGATCATCGACCAGAAGACAAGCTCCTGGTGGCGATCAAAGACTCTCTCGGGTATACACCCAAAGGGTCCAAAGTACCTTTATAGTAGAATGTAGGGTTTCTATATTGGGGATTATTATTATGATTTGGGGAAGTATCCCCCATAAGAGTACATAGGACCCTTTGGGACAACCAACGGGCGGAGAGACCTGAATGGTCTGGAGTGAGGACTGGGACCGGTCCTTCCCGTGCCGAAGCGCTTGCAAGACATGGTCTGTGCATGAAATCTGTGTACCCAGAGGCTCCAAAGTAGTTCCTTTTTGGTGTTCATACTTAGAATCCTATAAGGTAATCCCAAAAAGGAACTACTATGGAGCCTACGGGTAGGAGTCCTGTAGCAGACTTTATGGAACCCTGAACCATGACACACTTTGACAGCCCCTTCAGTCCTGCAGAGGTTCGTAGTAGCACAACGACGGAAGCCTAAATATCAAGAGCAACAGGTTGAAATAGCCAAAGATCCGAAAGTGGCGGAGACTATTGAAATACAGAACCTAAATACCCTTGCTTCACGGGCTCGTTGATAGAATTATAGAAAAACCTACACCAAAACCCTGTCCCAATCTTAGGCCCCTAAACTACAGAACCTATCTGTACATACCCTGCAGAACCCCCTAAAAACACAGCCCTTGCAAACAGCCCTTTTCTTACGTTCTTGTCGGAGACTTCAAAATGTGGGATGAAGCTTGGTGGGATTTCCTTCTCCATCCCATATATGAGGATCGTATTTATGATTACCCCACCTACCTTCATCCTACCCTGGGAGCCTTTTGATCTTAAGGCCCCGAAATTGCCAGCAGGTCGGCGACGCGAGCTCCCGGCCCTGTCGATTTCGTTTGGGTCCGGAAACCGGACTCCAGGGTTTCGGGAGCTTTTGCGTGTTAGGGTTTAGGGCTTAGGGTTGTTAGGGTTTTCGCGCCTTATGGCGGTTCGTTTCATGTTTCTGCTTTAGCGCTGTAAGGCTTCAGGGTCTGGTGGGTTTCGGGTTTCAGGGTTTAGGGCGGGGTTAGGGTTTGGAGAGGCGGTAGTTGTCATGGGGTGTGTGTTTCGTTTCGTGGGTTGTGTAAGGGTTTAGAAAAGCTTTTGCAAGCTTCTTTAAAATCTAACGGTACCTAGCAAATCTTCAGTGTGTACTGATGGATTTTGCAAGGTGTTGTAAGTCAGGTTCGTACACGGCAGTTATACAGGCCTCCAGCCACCCGAACCTCGGCCTTGCGATGTGTGAGGGTTTTCCATTCCCTCCTTGGTGGGTATCCAGCAAGCTCTCTTTCAAAAGGACTCGGATCCACAAGTCCTTGAGGTCTGGATACACCAGATGCCCAAACGAAAGCCCCAGAACCGTCCAGAACCCGAGCGCTGCAAATTCCGAAACCCCCGAAGCCTGTAGAAAACTCGAAATGATGAAACCTTACGAGGCCTAAGCCCTTATAGAGCCGTTACAAGAAAGCAAAATGAAGAATCCGGATCGAGGCTTCAATCCGGATGCCAAGCTTCGAAGCCTCATTCCGAAACCTTTGTAGAGCCTGTGAAACCGTCCATATCCATAAAGGAATTCCTAAAGTCTAACAGCCACCAGAAAATGCCAAGCACGCTATAAACCCTAAAGCCGTAAACCCTAACCCCAGGAGTTCACACCAAAAATACAAACCCCTATATCCCTATGACTCTAAACCCCTCAAGCCCTAAACCATACTAACTCCTACGACTCTAAACCCCCAAACCCCTAAACTCTTAACAAAATGCTGGAAAACGGGGGAGGCGGAGACGGCCCGCGCTGCGGCTGCCAGGAATTCCAAGCGGCTGGCGGAACGCTCAGCTCTAGGGTCTTTCAGGTTTAGCGTTTAGGGTTTAGACTTAGACGATCATGGGACTTAGTAACTGGGGCTTCTTTTAAGTTTTTAAGTTATCTGTACTTATAGCTACTTCTAACCCCACTAAGGGTGCTCAGGGTTGAGGGTTTAGGGTCCCTCTAAAGGGATCTACGCTTTGGGGTTTAGGGGATTAGGGTTTGACCGGTATATGGCAACCTGAGGCATTGTTAACCCCTAAACCCCCCTTCAAGCTGTGCCTCAAGCTGCTGAGTTATGTGAGGGTTTGGGAGTCTTTGGGTTGATGAGTCGAGTAATTACTTGGAAGTTAATGGGTAGTTAGAAGTCGGGTTGTAAACGGGGCAACTATACTTACGACAGGCGTGACCCACATTAAGGGACGTATAGCCCCACTGAAAACTACCCATGCACCTCAAAGTCGCACTTTGCAAATAATTCCTTTTGCGGATAAGGGGCAGCTTATAGTTGTGTTTTGTTGTGAGGGGGGGGTGTGAAGGGTTTTGTAGGGTTTCAGAGGTGGGCTGAGTAGAGTGTCGTGCTACAACCGATGTGGGAGCCAGAGGCGAAGTGCGAAGCTTGTTGCAAAGAAAGAGTGTCGTGGGGTTTTGGTGCAGGGTCTTAGGCACTTGGATTTTTGCACTTTTCTTAGGTTCCCCGGCCGCTAGTTATACTTGCAGGTTGCTGCAGGCTTCAGCATCTGCTAGTTGCCCCGCCCAGTTCGCTACATAGAGCTTGCGACTGAGATGTTATAGTGCGAAGTGTCGCAGTGTGCTCCAAAATTTAAGGTCCAGGGTCTGTGGGGCTTCGGGTTGTTACTTGCTGCCGGTACATTTCTCTTCACTCCTGTGTTGCCGAGCGCGGCCCCCTAAACCCCGAGATCAGATGTGGATCTTGACAGGGGGGGACTTCTCTGATACACTCACAACTAGAACAGTCTCACTCAACAGACCTCGAACCATATGCCTCGCCTGGATTGTCGGAGTGTGAGCGCCGCAACCCCGAGACCCCAAACTCAAGACGGAAGAAGAAGGACACAGCAGTCTCATCCTTGAAAGCCTCGATCCAATACTCTGGCCCCTTATCACTGGCTATAGTAGTCTAGAGCTACAAGTGCAGGTTCAGAAGGAGCTTCGAGTTAGACCAGATTCGATGCTTCCTTGTGAAGTCCAACGGCCTCATACCCCACGAAACGGCAGGTCATGAACCCAGAGTTCCAGGGTATCTCCCTCAAAACTGTAGGTGATCGAATCCCAGGCCGGGCTAATCGAACCCAAGCGCATGCCCCTAAATACGCAAAGAATTCAGAGGGTCCATATGTACCAATTACTAGTATGGAATTATGTCCCCCAAAACCATTTTTATAGGATGGTCTTTTTTGGGCCTCATTCCATAATGGTGGTGCGTATTGACCAGCTTGGTTCCAAGGCTCTGGATGTTCCACCTCTCATGCCTGGAGCTCGAAGCCCAAAAGGGAACTCCATAAAGGGTTTAGGATAATCAAATTCCAACTTTCTGGCTTTTACCTTAATATCAACACAGGACGACCGTGAGTGAGTAGTCCTGGGTCTAAGAACACATCGTCTGAGGAGGGGATGGGCCAACTTCTGAACTCTGCGTGCGGCCGGCATGGAAGGGTTTAGGGTAAAGGCAGCTTAATCGAGGTTAGGGTGCTAGGTTAGGGTTTAGGGTAAAGGCTGCCTAAAGCCCTTTTCAGTTTAAAGGCAAAGCGGGTAGTGAATTGCTGCCAGCCGAGTTCTGGTCTCACCCCTGAGGTTCAGAGCCTGGCTTAGTGCTACCCCCAGGATTCAAGTTTCTGCTGTTCAGGGTCACCTGCAAGTAGAAGCGCAGTTAGGGACATGATGGTATGCAGTAGGCTTGTCTTCCTGTTACCGTGAATGAGTTTGTATTGTCGTACCCCGAGCCCAATAACCAGCAGCACGACGAGGTATTGGGATGCCAGGGATTGACGCCTAGCGGGATAAGAGTTCTACTTAATGATGTGCGTCTGGGGCCACCTAAGTTCATTCCACAAAATGGAGCGGGATATGGTAATGCTCCTAGACAAGGCCGGTTCTTATCGCAGAGTCGGTGGGCGGCTTTTGAATCCGTGGCAAGGCTTACGGTTTAGATTATATGGGGCCTGCCGAGTTTAGGGTTTTAGGGCTGAGGGTCTATAGGGCCCAGGCCTGAAAGTTCAGGTCTTGCATGGTTTTGCGGCTTAGGGCCTAGGGTGCGGGGTTTGAGGTTTTAGCTCAAGCCGTGGATCAAGATCGAGATCTTTATTGCAAGTGTATTCACTCGCATAATTCACGATGCGGTGTGGAAACAGCTATATGACCATCGGGGCATCAACCTGTTGACGCTGGCGCTTCATTCCGAATTTGAGTGAAACTTCTGATGGTTTTGATTCTCTCTGCCCTCGTGGGACATGCAGTTGAGAACTCACGTTCTCTATTGAGCATGCGAGGAGTCAGAGATGCCGACCATGCAGCCGTTTTTGCTGCGTTGAAACGAGGGTTCCAACTGAGTTTATCTCCTCCAGGTTCATGCTGCCCTATGACGAATACGGAGGCCGAGATAATCAAACGCATTTCTGTGCTCAGATGGTGGATGTCTTCGGTCGCGAGGGACTTCGTTTCAGTCTCAAAAATACAGAGCGAGGTCACGTGCACGCATCAGACTCTGGCGGCGGGCAAGACGTTCGACTGGGACTCAACTGGAGCACATATATGATCGAACTCGACTCGTCATAAACCTAAACCCTAAAACCCTGAACCCTAAAACCCTAAATCGCAGTTAGAACCAAATTTTGCGAAAGTTTATTGCCTTGGCCAGGTGTGTGGTCACAAGGCCTCGATGCATCGCTCAGAGCCTTGGATGCAGCGTTAAGGGTTTAGGGTCTCGGGAGGGCGTAAGGCCCTGAACCCTAAACCCCCAAAGCCCTAAACCGCCTAAACCCTCCTAAACCCCCCAAACCCTAAACCCCTAAACCCCATACCCTAAGCCCGAAGCCCGAAACCCTAAAGCCTAAATCCTTATAGATCCCTTTAAGGGAACCCTTACAGTTCAGGGCCCGGGGAGGGCTCCGGTTTAGGAAGGGCTTAGGGTCTAGGGAGGGTTTAGTCTTCAGGGTTTGGGATAGGCGTAGGTTTCAGAAACAAGAGGGCTCCCAATTTTTCGGTGGTTTGGGGCTTATTATATCCTGATGGATCCTTCACCCCCAAGGTATCCTACAAACGTTGGGCTTAGATAGGGCATACTTAGGAGCACAAATGGGGCTTGGCGCGGGAATGAAACTAGGTGCCATAGTACGGGTCTAGGGCTTCAACTTCTCAATAGATAGGTGTGAGGAGCCAGTACGCAATCGGATTATTGGTTGGATTCAGTGCCAGTCCGTTTGCAAGCATTTCGGACAAAAGACTTACATTGAGAGCGGCCGGCCGCAATCGCAGAAGGGATGACTTCTGTGTTTAATGTTTTGCTTGCCTCGGTTCGAAAGTCTTTGGTCTACCTGTTGAGGCTCGAACTGGTTGATGCAAGGATGCAGAAGACTCGTGCTCTCGTGCTTCAGATAGGTGATGGTTGAGCGCCGAATCCGCCACAGTGTAAAGGCTTAGTCAAAAAAACGACAAAGGACCGTAGAACCTAACAGCCCTTCAAAAGGGTGTAAAACCTTCAGTGAACAAGCTCTACACACACGAACGTGCCGAGGATCTTGCACAGCGTACCATGTCTGCCTTCCTAGAGGTGCCCCAGGGGTTTGGAAGTCAGGCGACTCTGATTTACTGCCGCAGAAAGTAGGCTTCAGGTTTCACGGTTTCGGCTTTAGGCACATCGTTCTTTTGCTCCTGTTGCAGAAATCTTGTTTAGGGCTTTTAGTGTTATTCTCGATCATACGCCTTTCGGATTCTGCAAGTTACTATTTGGGGCGGAGGGTGTGCATCGGACTGGGGGTTCGAGCAGTCATGTCTTTGAAGTTCTTTTGTATCACAAGCGTTTAGGGATTAGGGTTTGGGTTTTACGGTCTGCTCCATCCATCTCTACTAGGGACCAGGGCGTTTTGCGAAGGTGTTTTGCTTGATCAATGAAGGATACCGGAGTCCTGGGGCGATAGCCACAGCTCTTACGGCTGCATGATTCGCACAACAAAATCTGTAGAGTGTCAGCGTGGCGAGAGCCACTTGTAAGAGCCCTGACACGACCATTTTGCACCTCTCACCCTCCAAATCACAAAGCCGCAGAAACAAGCTTGACCCGAAGCCCTGAAAGCTAGACCTTGACAGGTTTATGAACCCAAGCCCCGAATTTTTCTCCTGAAGCCTTCAAAAGTCCTGAGCCCTAAGCCCCGAGGCTAAATCTTGAGACAAACAAAAGAGCCCCTTCATAGACCTAAATGTTTGCTGCAGGAGGGTGCACCGAGCCACTGGAGTGCCGATGCAGAGGGCCTTGTAGAGGCCAGCCAACGATGCCAGGTATTGCTCATGGCTTTAGGTTCAGGGTTTGGAGTTCTGGGATTTTTTTAGATTGGGGTTTCGGGCTTGGGGGTTTAAGGGTTAGGTTTTTGGCGGTGTTCGGTCGGGTATGCTGATTGAAGAGTCACCGAGGCGTAGTTTGTTGTTCACACTGCCGGGGCTTCAGAGCTTCCATGTTTTGCTGAGGGGCGATGGTAATAAAGCATGTACTGTTCCGGGTTGAGGACCCACTTGAGGCTTCATCTCTACATCTCAAGTCCAACCCCGGACTGCGAAACCCAGAAACCCTGACCCTGGAAGCTCTTCGCCCCGAAAACTTTACCTTTATATTCCTTATATAAGCCCACAGCCATCGAATCATTCAGCGAAACTTCAAGCGCTCCAGATCACCGAAGAGCCCATCCTCTCGCGACTTCAGGCCAGGGTTCACGTACCAGAGCGTTTTGGGTTTCATAAGAGAATCATAAGGCTTCAGGCTTCACGGTTTACGGTGCGCAGGGTTCGGGTGAAAAACGTGTAAAGGTCTTGGCTCATGGTAGCAAACCGCTGCATAGATAGCGGGGCTTCTAGGGAACGGCGAGGCACCGACTTCGGTTGGAGAGGTTCCCTTTGACGGATTAGGGCCGAATCTTTCTAGAGGAACACGAGGTCACTAGGGCATGCAGCTCAAAGTCCATGTTTTTGGAAAGCTCGTACCGGTGAGAAGACATGAATGGTTGCAGATTTAGTGTCGTGTTGTTCCTTCGTCTGCACCGCTCTCAAAAGTGGCGGTGGAAGCGTCCACACTTTCGACATAAAGCGCCAAGGCGTCTTCAGCAGGAATTGCAACAGGACCACTGGAAGTGGCCTTTATTTGGAACGCACTTGTGGATCTGCAGAGGCCCGCGGCCGAGAAGGCCCCATGCCCTGAGCGGCAGATACCCAGACCTTCCAAAATCCCTTAATTAAGGAATATCCCTTAAATTATAGTATGATCCTTAATATAATTTAAGGTATCTTCCTTAATTAAGGGATTTTGGAAGGTCTGGGTAGTCTGTCTACGACGTTCAGCAGGCTGGCGTATCATACGGCGAAGGAGCACTACAACTTTCCGGGGGCTTGATTGATGGTGTCAGGGCTGATGCAGTTGGCGTCAAGGAATATACCGATACCAGCGCGCGCAAGTACACGTTCTGCACTTTTCTTGGGTTCTCCTGTGCTCAACCTTCGTCCCAAAGCGACTGCCCTTCGTCCTGCGTAGACAGTCCTGCTATCACCGCAGTCTGCCATTACTGAAACGCCTTTGTTAAGGATTCTTTGAGCCATCTCTGCACGATGCCTAGTACACTTCTTTTTCGATCTCCTCACGGAGGGTTGAAAGGTTGCGAACAACATGTCAGTATCGTCGATTGCGGTTGCACTATTTACACTTTAATATCAAGACATGGATGTGTTTCGTCAGAGTTTTCGACCATTACTTAAAGTTAAACTCTATAGATAGACTCTGAATTGCAGTACATCTCTCAGGTTACTTCATCTTTTTGTTATCGGAGCCTAATCTGAGAGTACAACATCGAGGAATAAATCGTGCAATTCAAAGTGGAGATGCCCGTTGCATAGTGAGACCCTCGAGACTGGCACGGCAGAGAGAGACGGTTCAATTCCTGGTAAAGTTATTGCTGACCCAGTGTTCTGTCTCCCAGCCGTCTTGCCTCCATCTTTGCAACTGCATAGCATGGCTACAAGTTTTGCTTTGATCTTCTACTCCAGCAAACCAGTCCCCGAGAAGGAGAGATTCTAAAAACAAACCTTGAAGCACCACGACCTTTCAGAACGTAAGCTCTCAAAGGACCAAGTGCCATAGGTCCAGAGCCCCATGGCTATGAAGTACACACTACTTCTTGGATCGCAACTGGAAGCCTCATAACTTCAAGGATTTCAGGACAGAGGACCCCTCGTTTCGCATGTGCGGGCCAAAGGGTCCATGGTGCTCGGTTTTGGGTTTACGTGAGAGTTTGGGTTGTCTCGGTGCTGTCTTGGTGGTGTTTGTTGGCGGTCTCCTGATGGCTGAGGGTTCATGGTTTTAGTTAGTTTGGGTCGAACGCTGCCTGCTAGGCGCTTCTTCACCACAGCCACAAGACCACTGACAACTGGACACCGCAAAGTTTTGGGGAGTTTGAAGAAGCGTTCGTGCTAAAGGTTCCTTATAAGGGTTCTGTACTTCTGGGTTGAGTTGGGCCTGCACTTTTCTGGTTTCTAGAGGTTTGGTGTGCAGTAGGGGTTCGTAGGCACGTCAAAATAGCATTGCAGGTATTCTAATTCAGCACAAGCAGTTTTCAACTTGCATCTTTACCTTGGCGCCCCAACAATCCTCTAGAAACGATAGACGGTTGTCCGAAACCCGAAATGAATTAGCGACCGTAAGGGCTCACTTGAGACTATCTTGGGGGAGGCCCTAAGCCACAGCCCAAACCTTAATCCCTAAACTCTGAAGCTGAGACCTAAAACACAGCACGAGAAACCGGGCTAAACACTAAATTAAACCCTAACGTGGAGTGGACAGGTGTAGCCGCGAAGGGGACGGAAATCAGGTCTCCGTGACAGGAAATGGGGTGGACAAGCCCGGTCCGTCGCTGTCCTTCTGCGAAGGGTGCACGAGACGACAGCCTGCATGCATACCACGGTCGTGCTCCGAACCCATCAGAAAGGAGATCCTCATGGAAGCGCAGAGCACCGGCCCGGAGGCGCAGGTTGTGTAAGACTCAGCCTTTGCGCTGGGGCATGAGGGAGGCCAAGCGGGTTCGGGCCACCAAGCTCTCCTGGGCTGCTGTGGACACGTTGCAAAGTGCCGCAGAGGTTCCGAGCATATCATGTCGGAAGGGTCGTGTTCCACAATCTAGATAGGATAGACTAGCTTTTGAGACACGAAGAAATAGAAAGAGAGAGAGAGAGAGAGATAGATAGAGAGACAGAGAGAAGGCAGAGAGACACAGCAACAGAATGAGCACATCCAGGCTAGCATACGTCTTCAACACACCGGTCCGTGCGGTGGCTCGACATGCGGGTCGCGTAAGCGTGTACCGAGAACGTCTCCAGTTGGTGCAAGATCTTGAGAATGTTAACTCCCAGCAAGGCATGTCGGGTCTTTTTGTTTGGACCTCGCTAGGTAACAAGTTTCGGGACTTGGTTAGTCCGCTTCTTGGAAAAGTGTCAAAAGCTGGTGTAGTAATAGTAGGAATATAGTCCCAGAACGACACGATACTGAACTTAATACACTGAAATGACTAGAAGAGACCCCATAAGCAAATGTACAGCTAGATAGATAGATAGATAGATAGATAGAAGATAGATCATTAGAGAGATAGACAGATAGGTTGTACATGAACACATATGCTTGCATGCATACATACGTTCATGCGTACATGCAGGTGCAGATGCAAAGACAAATGCTGATCTGAATGCACAGGACATAAGCGTACACCTGCGGCATGCATACATACATGCATGTACACCTACATGCATGCAAGCACACCATTACTTGCTTTGTCTTAAGTCTTACGACTCCATTATTTTATGATCTCTTGCTTTCTGAAAGTTCCAGTCCAGCTTCCCCAACTCGGAAAGTCACCTAGGAAGTTCAAGCTTTACTTTCGAACTGTTTCGGGTTTTGGGAGTTCGGTTTAGGGTTTCAGACATTCACACATCATACTTGCAAGATGTAAGCACGTTGGAATATTTGGATGCACAGCACAGATCAATATGAAGGTGGATCTTGGTTTATGCCAATTTTGCACCCCGGTCGAGGTTTTCGGGTTTCTAGAGGTTTGCCCTGGAGCTTCAGAGGTTAATTATTGGTTCTTAGGGTTTTAAGGTTTTGGTGTTTGTGATTTCTGGGTTCGGGGTTAAGGGTGTAGGGGTCGCAAAAAAGGTTTAGGGGTCGGCCAGTAGCGCAATGGTTTCTTGGGTGGTTTTGCGGCTTCGTGGTGCCACTCGGCCCGAGGAAACTGCACAGTTGTTCAGTATTTGCCAGTTGTCAGGCTCCGCTGCTCAGGCACGCACGTTGCTTTTTTATGCCCTTACTATCCCCTACTTCTCCTAGGGCCAGAAGCTCCACTTTGCACATAGGACCCGGGACCGTGGATGCTCTCTTCACGGTGTGAACGGTTGCGCCTTGCCTGATGTTGCGCTGAGAGAATCTGGGGACGCAAACTCATAGCGTACCCTATGAGGCCCGGTTACCTGATTTATCAGTTTACAGAGCACACGATGTACAGTATCTTTACAAACTACAAGTTACCCATGAAGTGGCTTAACGTGCCTTTGAAGCCAGATGTTGCTGCCTGTCTGGAGCTTCATGGGGTTTAGGGCTTCCCAGACCTTCCAAAGTCCCTCACTTAAGGAATATCCCTTAAATTGTAGTAGGATCCTTATAATATGATTTAAGGTATATTCCTTAATTAAGGGATTTTGGAAGGTCTGGGTTCATGCCCTGGACTGGACTGAATCAGGGTTTAGGGTTTAGGGTTTAGGGCCCCAAGGCAGCAACCCCAAGGCTTGGCCCCTAAACCCGGCTGTGTTCCGCGGGTGTAGGAGTTTGCTTAGGTCTGCATGGCATTTGAGCACAAGTAGCTTGAACATGGGGTTTCTTTTCGGGATTGATCACTAGATCAAGATCTCGAAGTAATTAGTACCGTATGCCCTTGCCTGTTGAACTCCTAGTAGGAAAAGGGGCACCCTAAGTTTAAGGAAGTTACCCTGGAATGCTTTGAAGTAGATGAATTAGAAGAAACAGGCGTACCGGGGGATTCGGAAGAAATCCCAGACTTGGCCCTAAACCCTCAAGACCGTGAAATCTGAAGCCCACATTCCCACCCAACAACACTGAGAATAAACGAGCCAGTCATAAAGCCCCAAAGCTCTTCAAGCTCGATTTCCCAAAGCCTCAAACTTCAAAACCTGAGCTACCCAACTCCTATGCCCAAAAGCGACCCGAAATGTTGGCCACCGAACCCTCAAAGCCCCACGAATCTAAACTCTAAAGCCCTTGTCCCACAAGCTCCAATTTCTCGAGGCTCTGCTTCTTGCGCTTCGAGAAACCGAGTACTCGCCAGGGCCTCATTTGCTGGAGCCGGACCCTGGGGTTGGTATCAGTCCTTTATAGGGCTTTTAAACTCAGCGGATGTAAAGGGCTTCTACTTCAAGCTTTAGTAGGGCCTCTCCCTTAAGGCTGTAGTGAGGTACTTTGAGGGTTCCATTTGGAGGTATCTTACGAAATCCATGAGGCGCCTGTAATGGTACATAGGAGGTGCCTGGGGGTTGTAGTGATTGAAGGTGCAGCGTGTAGGGCTTCTGGGGTTTAGGTATGGAGAGTTGGTGGCCGGACGTGGTCTACAACTGACAGAGCCTGTTGAGTTTGCAAAGTTTCATTACAGCAGGCCACCCGTCGCAGAGCCAGTGTGGTCCTTGATAATGGGCAACACCAGGGGTTGTAAATCCTAATTGATAGCAACCACAATACTCAGACAAATACTAGTACTGGTTCTATCATGGCTAGTGGCCGTATTCTTACGACACTGATTATGATTCTTGTTACTGTTTTTTTTTGATATTGCTGTGTCGTAGGGGATTACAGATTTGCATCGGGTGCTTTGAAGGTGCCATCCAAATACCACCTGGTCACGGCTTTCCGAAACCAGAACCAGGCTGGGGCTAACTGTTTCAGGTGCAGGGTACTGCAGGGTTTTGGGGTGGGGATGGGTTTTAAGGCTAAGGGCTGCGATTGTTTCACTGCTTATGTATTGAGGGTTTGTAAAGATAAACGTGGGAACCCGTGTTTGTTTTTGCTGTCGTTGTTTTTGTTGTTGCTTTTGTTCTCGTTGTGCGGGCCCAGGAAGCCAGTGAGTGAGTGAGCCCCGATTCCCGTCGCGACCGCAAATAAAAGCGCGTCCAAGCAACGACAGCAAGAAAGAAACTGGTTCTCATGGGTAAGAGTGTATTGTGTGCCGTCGTTGCTTTTTTGCTGTCGTTGTGGGGCACGTTTATTTGCCGTCGTTGCGGGGTTCACCGGGAAGTGAAACGACAGCAAGAAAGCGCCGGGGACCGCACAACGACAGCAAAAAGAAGCACGCCCCGGGGGACGACAGCAACAAAAACCTCACGCCCCCACAACGACAGCAAACAAAAACACGCGCCCCGCAACAACAGCAAACAAGCAACGACAGCAAAAACAAAAAAGCACTCTTACCGATAAAAGCGTTGAGGCTTCGGGGTTCTCGTCATCAGCTTGAGGGAGTTGTGGATACAGGCTTTAACAATTGAGTAAGTCCGGAGTTTGGGGCTCCTGGGTTGCTCTGCCAGGGCTTGATTATTATGGAGACCTGCATACTTGTAACAGTAGCATTCCTAAAAGCTCCGCGTTTCACTAGCCATTTTGTCAATTCTAAAGCTCTCCGCCTCGCCTGGATTGTCCGAGTGTGAGCGCCGAAACCTCATTCTGACAAACGGGACCCGCCCATGACACTGTACCATACCTCCAAGACCTTCTTCTTATTATTAGGCCTCCATTACACTAGACTATGCCCCAACACCTTATTCTGATCACTAAGGCCCCCATCTTAGGATGTAAGAGTTCTGTCAGAAGATCTACCGGCACGGAGTTCCAGAGTTTGAGGGTTGGTGATACGGTTTCGAGTTTAGGGTTTAGGGGCTGCATCGACTAATCCATCTCTCCATCCTGAAAAAATGGTCGTTTTGTTCTAGCCGTTTGCCGAAGCATGGGGTATCAAGAGGCTCACCAGCCAGCAACAACGGCTGACTTTCCGACCATAGCGTTTCTTTTCGCTTGTCTTCGCCAATCGGGCTTCTCACCCGACGGACCTGTTTCTTTCGGGTTGAGAGTTTAGGTTGAGGGTCCCGAGCTTCGAGTCTGAGGTTCTATATTTCCGGAAGCTACTTCCATGGACCGACTGCACAATCTCCTAAGTAAGCAAGGAACGATCAGGGGTTTAGCCACGGACTAGACCAAAAGAAAGAACCTAAAGCTCTGGGCTGTAGCTGGCGCACGGACCCCGTGACACCTCGCGTTTGATCTAGGGCTTGGTGTCTTCGGAACAAGTTGAGTCGGAGTCCGAAACGGGAGTTTCCGAAAATAGGGGACCCTAGTATAGCACCCGAAATAGTAGGATCCTTATTATAAGGGCCCCAAAATAAGGTACCCCTAAGTTTCCGAAACTCTAACCCCTTATATAGAGCCCTCTAAAGGGACCCTTTATAGTACCCTTATAGTAACCCTTTAACGGAACCCCTTTCGGAAACTCCCAAACGAGGACTTATGGCAGAAGTACGCCTTGGTCAAGACGGCCGTGGCGGAAGAGTGCTCTGCCGCGAGCAAGGTGGGCACTTCCCCAGAGGCTCCATGTACCCTTATGGTAGATACTTAAGCCTTAAAAGGGTCCCTATATAGGTACTTTAAGGCCTAAGTTTATACTATATTGATACATGGAGCCTTAGGGTTCTACACACATGGGTGGTTTTCAAAATTAAGGTCCCTTTTTGGGGTCCCTTATATACTACGGCACCTAATGGGTGGTTGTCAAAATTAAGGTCCCTTTTTGGGGGTCCCTAGTATAATACGGCACCTAAGATTTGGGGTACCCAATTAGGGGCCATAATTTTGACAACTACCCACATAGGCTTTGCTTTCGTTTAGGTGTTGCATTCAGGGGGATTCCATACAATATTTGCAAACTGTTGTTGTTGTTGTTGGTGGTGGTCGTGGTTTGTATTCTTTCGACAACAAGATCGATCTGACTCCAGCTTAGTTGTTCCTCCTGCCTTGCAGGGGCGTGGGGCTTCAAGACCTCAAGTGCTGAGACATTGAGCCCAGCACCCTAAACTCGAAAACTAAGTCGTAAGCCTCCAACCCAAACCCTACCCGGCAATTTCTCCATTATTATTGTTGTTATTATTATTATTATTCTTATTATAATGCCTCAACCATGGATCCGAATCCTTCGCAGCTCCCACTAAAGGGGTCGAGAGATGCCTATGCAGTTTGCAAGTAAGGGTATACATGTGTCTCTTGCGCTGCTTACTCCGTGCCTTGAAGGTCACGGCTCTCCTCTTAGGTATATCATATGAGGTATGCACACCATTCGAAAGGACCTTGATTCATGCACCATCATACAACCCCTACAGCGCCAAGCGCTAAACTGCCGGACGCAAGGCGAAATTCCGCGTGCTGCCCACTGCGACGAACGATGCCCTAGATGGGGCCCTGGGGCACTTTTCCGTTCCCGTGGTAGTTTCACCGAAACCATAAGTACAATTATGGGGATGCCTTACTGTAATTACAGCATAATGGGCCCCGAATAACCCTATTCTACTTATTAAGGCCCCTGTATTACGTTCTTTAGCCCTGAACCCCAAGCCCCGAACCAAATTCGTCGGCGTCTTACCTTCTAGATCCGCCCGGGCCTGGAGATGGACCCCAAAGCGTTTGGGCTTCAGTGTTTGCGGGATTCTTGTAGTGGTGCTGTGGGCTTGGTTACTTGGTTTGCCGCAAGAAGGACGACAGCGCCCATGCTATCCCTATACATGTGTGCTATCTGTATATAGTTAAAGAACCCCCTAGCTAGTAATCTTCATGACCTATTAGATGTACATATCCATATCTAGTTCTATATCCGTACCTATATCTATATCTATATCTCTATTTACATGCGCATGCCTATATCTACAACTATGTTTAAATCTATGTATGTATCCATGTCTACATGATACCTACCTACATACATACGTACTTACATACATACCTACATGCACACATGCATGCACACATGCATGCACACATGCATGCATACGCGTCTCTGTTTTTCGTAACCTCAATAAGTAATTCTTTCACAAGAAACATGTTTTGGGAGCAGCGGGGCCAGGGTGCAGAGCTTGTGAGCTTTATGCTTGAAAAGGTGCAGGGCTTTGGGCTCAGGTTTTAAGTTTCATTCCAAACGGCTTATTTGAGAGGTATGTAACGTCTGATGGATCAGGTTCGGCCTTTGGATTTACGGTCTGAGAGGGGTTGTGGGTTTGTGGTTCTGGGTTGAGGGTGCAGGGCTGCAGTATCAGTATCCTTCATCAAAGCCGCAACGAGCCCTTGCGATCATCAATGTGGGGTGTGGCCTCGAAAGCCTTTAAGATGAAACCCTCAGAGTTTACAGCCGAACGTAGATGAACATACGCTGTGCTTGTTAACCTAAATAGCGGAAAGCCCTAGTGAGCCTTGAAAACCTCATATTATTCGCTACTCCGTACGCCCGCTTGGTTTGGAAAGCCCTGAACCCTACCCCACAAACAGCCCTGATTAAACCTATTCGTCAAATCTGAGACCCGAAAGGACCGGGTAAAGACTCCTAAACCCGTAAAAACCAGAACCCCGTGCAACAACCCAAACCTATTGCACTCGAGACACCTTTAGTGCCCATCTGGATCTTATTAACGTACCGTATGAAGGAGCCCTAAAATCCTAGATACTTCGAGAGCTTTTCAGAACCCTAAATCTTGAAATCCCGGAAGGGCCCATTAAAGTGCCCGCCCCGAAAACCAAAAGCCCTTAAAGAGCTCCAAAATCCTCTAGCTAAAGCCCCAAATCGAAGTTGTTCAAGGCATTGCCGCGGCCGATGTCTGCCAGCGACTTCACGGTGGGTGAAGCAGTCGAGGTGACTTGCCGGTGTTCCAAGGAGGGTTGAGTTTAGGGTTTGGGTTATTTGGGCTTTGTTGGGCCTGTCGGGTTCTCCTTTCGAGGCATTGTCGATGTTGTTGTTTGTCTTTGTTATTCGCTATAGATTGAATTTGAGAGCGGTTGTCTATCATTTGGAAATTCCGTGCTGTCTAGCAGAGTCTAACAGGCCTTGCAATTTGGTTTCGGGGGATGGGGTTTAGGGTTCTCGGGTTAGGTCATGGGGGATGAGGTCTGATG